TAACTAAAACGTGATTGAAAAATTAGATTAGATCGGTACAAATAGAAGCATACATGCAGAAAACAATGTCGAAAAGTTACAGATGGTAATACTTGCTGCGTATCGAACATTCGCTGTTTCTGGAAAGTTGCTAGTGGGTCATTTTGGCCTAGGCCGGTAGTTCTAGTGTTAAGAAACTCACGGCTTCGCAATTACACTGAAAAATAGAAATCGCCTGAAAGCCAACGCAATAATCAGAACAGTCCCAAAAAAAAAGGTAAGAAGATAACGAGTGAACAATAGTATCCACCTCTGTACGTCTCAGTAGTTAATTATTCAGATCACACCCTCCAGCGAGCTTTATTACCACGGAGCGTGGGCAAATTACCAAATAAATTACGCTCTTTATCCCCTTCTCCTCGGTGCTTTCGCAAGTAGCCTCTCGGTTTTCCCTTCGCATTTTCACGGCGAAGAGTCGCGAGAGTGGGACGATCGATTCCCAAGTGGTCGACGAGTCCCGCGGGACGTACACGCGTTTTTCGTTAATAACTCGGAAACGAAGCTGCAAACTACATTTTGGACAAGGAAGAAGTTGTCCAGAGTCACCCCAGCAACCCCCCATTTCCGGATGTTCGAAGAGTTACGGGACACCCTGTATATGCGTGGATCAGAAAGGAGAGATACGTGAAAAGTTGAACGAATTAGCTTTTACAAATGAAACCTCCCGAACCGGTTGAAAGTTTACCTCGTGATACCTATTTAAGGGAACTCGTTCCTGTATCGATTAACTGTAAAACTTGGACCGATAGTGAGAGAAAGAGAGGGAGAGAGAGAGAGATAGATAGTTGTCCTGGTGAACTGTTGGAAAATTTACTGGAAACGATGTCGCTCGTGCTACGCTCTGGCCACTTCTTAGCGCGATCCACAAGAGAATCCTCTCTTCTGCCGGAAGATACGGGACGTGGACAATGTTCGAGAGCTCGTTAAAGTTTCACCGGAAGAGAGAAAGGGTTGCGCCTCGAGAGCCACCGCTTGGAATACATTGAGGCGGGCTGGACTACGTTGACGAGCTCCTGCTCTTATATTTTTAATGCGCCTGTCTTTTGCGTATTCGCTTCTTCATCCTTGCTATAGCTTTCGCAAATTTTTCTGTTATTGCTGTTATCGTCGTCTATTCTATTTCTTCTTTTTCAGTCTCGCAAGCTTATTGCAGATTTTTATTGTTCACATTACACCACTGTTTATCCTTGGCACAATTTTCTCAAATTTTCTATTTTTATTATTATCATCATCTATTCTATTTCTCTTATTTCTGCTTTTTTTTTTCATTAGTGATTTGTGTCGTATCAACTGCAAGATTACTGCAGATTGTTTACATTATATTATCTACTGGTACAATTTTCTCAAATTTTCTATTACTGTTATTATTATTGTCATCTATTCTGTTTCTATTAGTTCTTCTTTTTTAATTAATGATTTGTGTTCTATCAGCAGCAGGGTTATTAGAAACAGCCGGAAAAATGTATTTTATGCAGTCACATTTTGTTGCTTACATTGTACTAGTTTGCTGATTAATTTGGATTTTGATGAATTTCAGCAGATCGCGAATTTTTTTCATTTTCTTGAGACTGTCTTTGAGAGTGCGTGTTCCGATTATTCATAGGATGTTAGAGGAGGCCGAAGCGAATGGCCATACTTGAACTTACTATTCGCCGCTTTTGTTTCCACGCGGTACGTTTGAACCGCGCGTCTAATTAAGACATACGTACATCCTCCCTTTCATTCGCCAAAATCAGCTTGTTCTTATTTTTGCTCATTGTGCAAAGCAAGAGTTCCCCTCCTGCAAATTAAAGGTTAACGCATAGGTGGAAGGTCAAAGGCTACGTTTCCCGTTCTTTTTTCTTTTTTATTTCCACGGAGCTCGACAATTTTCTAAAACATGAAACAACTCTTAAAAGAGCCTTACTTAACCTTTCACTTCTAATTAAAACCTTTGATATTTAGCGGAGTAAAGAGGTTTCGGTGGAGAAAAAGACCGGTGAGAATGAAACTTTTGGCGAATTAGGGCGTATGAAATGCATTGTCTAAAGATTAACCGAAAGAAAAGGTGTATAAAATAAATACAAGCGTGCTCGAATACCTAGTTTATGGGAAAAGGAACTCTGATAAAATTAGACAGTCGATCCTATTTAGCTTCCGACGCAAGTTAATCGAGTAATCCCGAAAAACGTTCCGTCAGAGTCGTTTCCCTCTCGACTCGGTAGCCTGACTCGGTGATATTCTAGGTAAATGTTTGTCGAGAGAAATCTGATCCACCTGGGAGAGAACGAAGTGTCCTCCGTATCGATGGTGAAAACGAGAAGAGACGACGTTGCGCTCGACTGTGATATAGATCAACGATTTACCGTCGCACTTGCCCGCTGTTTTATCCGCGTTAAATCTCGGATCTCGATTATAGTTACGACTAGACAGCGGCGTTTAACGATGTCGTTTCCACCGTGTAACTCATTGCTGGATTAATGCAATTATGGGCCAGGCGGCTGTATCGGGGGATCAACGTATTAGACGCTTCTTAAGGGCGATAAAGGTGCCCTTCTTATTCGTCGGTCAAACTACACGGCCAACTTGTTGCACTTTCTTCGGTTTTTCGTTAGATTCTGCTCTTGTCCTTTTCTCTGTCGTATTATAATTGCGCTAACCGGAAAGCACGAACATTGAACATTTTTTCAATGTTGGAAACTCGCTTCTTTGTAACACACATTGACCAGAGTCTTGTATGTTTCTCATTTTGAATTTGCGTCCGTTAGTATTTCTGGTATTAGTGCTTGCCTATTCTTGTGCGATCTAATGGGAAATCTTCTCGTAGAAATAAATAAAAATAAATATAGTGAAATACGATGTGGTTTGTAAATATTCATTTTCAAGTAGATATTAACCCTTTGAGTACTCGCTAAAGTACTCTGTTGCTAAAACATACGAGAGTAGGTTACAAAAAAAAAAAGTAAGAAAATTCAGTAATAAAATATTTCCGTGAATGTAATTTCAGTTTCAATGTGTAATACATCATGAATATGTAGTCTCGATATAAGAGGTCCCAGATTAATCCTAAATTTCTTTATGCATGAATTCTTGCTCCTCCCGGCAAAATGTGAAATTGTAATCAACCCTTTCTCTTCTCACGAACAAGAAAAAATCAAATTACAAAGGATCAACAGATTAACCAATTTCATTCAGTAGGTATATTAACATAAACCTCGAAATTCCATGCTACACCTTGAAACGCAGTAATGCTTAGAAATACATGTTAACATTCCCAGTTGATATCAGAACAATTACAATTTCGTCCTCTCAAAAACCGCATTACCTTTTTCCCCTCTCAACAAGCACAAGAAGTCGTCGTCACAACCTCGCACAAGTGTCCACGACAAATTGCATTCAAGCAAGTTTCCTCTCGCTGCGAGACCTTTCAGCGCAGCACTTCACATTAAGTAGCACATCACCCTTTCGCGATCGAACGCAGTAACATCCCCTCGAAACGAAACGAAGAGCCTTTGCACACCTCATCGGTCGAAATTCATGCGCCAACTTGTTGCTACTTCTTTCGTCCCGCGTTTCAAACCCGGTCCCTTTTCAACCAGTCTCTTTTTTTTCTATCACGATAGATTTTCGGGAACTTGTCGAAGTCTCTCGATGCGTGGTGCCGCCTTGTCGATCGCGTGTCGCATATGGATCTCTGGAGAAATGTCCCGGAGAGCAGGGCAGAGTCTTTAGCTGTCGCGAAACGATCGTAAGGCTGTCACGTCGAGGGCGAGCTTAGATTCTCCTCGTAGATAGCTCCACGCCAAGATCGTCGTGCTGCTCGTTGTACAGGATTTCCGGAGTTCAGTAGATTCTCCATATAGATAGCGACCTAATTGGACCGACATAATTTTCTACGCCTGACTCGGGGCACATAGGATGATCGAGTTTTCCTGGATGTTTCTTGCGAGGTGCTGCTCGAAGGATTATGAAACGGCATGCTGGACTTGCTGCTACTCTGATCTTGGCGATACGCGAAATGAATTCTCGGTTTCTTGCTGAAGTACGCGGATTCGGGTTACGATGTGATGAATGTTCTTGTTTCTATCGCGATGGAAGACGATCTGGATATATATTGTACCGTGTGGTGGAGTTTATTCGACGTGTTCGAGTGTGAAAGTAAGGGATTGAAGGAAAGAGGGTGCTGTGAATTTCTTTGGGTTTCTTGGAGTAATTTTGGTGAAGGGTTTTTTGTTGTTTAATTTTCTTTTGAGAACTCTGTGATGGAAGATTGTTCTTTTTTTGTTTTTAATTAGTATTAGTATTTAGGGGTGAGTCGTAGATTTTTAGTTAGCAAAGTATTCAGGAGTAGGTCATAGATTTTTAGTTAGCAAAGTATTTAGGAATATTTTTAGTTAGTAAAGTATTCAGGAGTGGGCCATCGATTTTTAGTTAGCACAGTATTCGGGAGTATGTTTAGTTAGTATGAGTAAATGTTTTTAGTTAGCAAAGTATTCAAGAGTGGCTCGTCAATGTATTCAGGTTAACAAAGTATTCAGAAGTATTCTTAGTTAGTATTAGTAAAGATTTTTAGTTACTAAAGTATTCAGGAGTATTCTTAGTTAGTATGGGTAAAGATTTCTATTCAGCACAGTATTTAGGAGTGGGTCATCTATTTTTAATTAGCAAAGTATTCTTAGATAGTATGAGTAAAGATTTTAAATTAGCAAGGTATTCTTAGTTAGTACGAGTAAAGATTTTTAGTTGGCAAACTATTCAGAAGTGGGTCGTCGATAATTTTCCACAGATCCCTATAATTACAATTTTCAATATTACATTCCCTCATTACCGTAAAATTTCCTGAAAATTCGTAAAATCCAACCGCGATAAAAAATTCTCAGAAAAATACAAGTGAAACGAGAATACGATCATTCGCAAAATTTTCATTATATTTCGTACAAGTTCTTCAATTTCAAACGCAATTTTCCCTCGTGATTTTCCAGGAATGGACACATGCTAACGCATCGAAACAAGAAGCCATACGAATGCAAGGCGGAAGGTTGTGGCAAGTCGTATTGTGACGCGAGGAGTCTGAGGAGGCATACGGAGAATCATCATGCCGGTAGCAAGGTGAACGAAAGCGTTAGTCCAAGCAGTCCCACCACCGGTCCACATACACCAAATACACCAGGAAGCAATCCCAGCACGCCCAGCACGCCAGGTGCCACGTCGACACCAAATGGCCACGGACATCCGGCCCTGAAGCAATTGCTCGCCACTGAACCCACACAGACGCAACAGCAGAAGGTAAGTCTGCAACACGTTCGCCGTTTATTTCCTTAACGCTGCCAATCGGGTCAAAAGTGACCCATTAGCGACCTTCCAAAACTGAATTTTTAGTAAAAGTTCGATTCGTATCGGTGCAAATAGAGGCATACAAACGATAATATTCGCTGTTTTTGGAAAGTTGCTAATGGGTCATTTTTGACCCGGTTGGTAGATTTAGTGTTAAAAATTCTTTTTAAAAAATGCACGATTATTTCCGTATTTTATTCGGCGAATTTTTAAGAATCTTTTGAATTTACTGTTATCCTTACAAAGTTGTGTATTCAGTAATAGTGAATATTGATGCAAGATTGATTTTGAATTATTTTTGAAAGAAGGGAACTGTATAGTAGATTTCATCTCGAAATCATAAAAATCGATTGTCTCTGTTATTGAACTTGATTTTCATCTCTGTTTGAAAACTTCTTAGCACTGATCGCTACTTTTCTTGTAAAATAAATTGACCACTTTGTGTCACTGAAAGGTATTCTGTAGTCTGAGTCATAAAAAGTTATGAAAAATCCAGCAAGTGACAAATTTTGTCAAAGATATGACCACATGATTCCCAAGCATTAAGAAAACCTGAAAACAAAATATTCTCCACGTTTCGTCTACGTATCAGCCATTACCCAGTCCTAATCCAATTAAAAAGTTTGCCACGCGTTCGTCGATGCAGATACACAAGGTGTCCCACATTTCTCGCAATCGCGAAACATTTTTAACCAACGTTTTCCCTTACCACTCGCAATAATGGAGATATCAGAGGCGGGCAGAGTTGTCGAGACACCCTGTATATATCGTGACACCGTTTTCTCGAAATTGGTTCGATATTGGTTCGCCTGAGATAGGTTTAAAGGCTTAGAGAAACGGCAGCCCTCCAGGATGAGTCCAGTCAACGCGGATCTGAAGATCAAGCGACGTAAGAGGATTACGTTGATCTACCTGATCGTCGAGCATGTTACGCGACCTCTAACTGCGTCCTCGTTAATTTTTATACGTCGTCCGCGGATCTTCAATTTGTCCGATTCTACCGCTCTCGATAAATGGATTCCACGAATTAGACTGGTCTCTCTGTGTCGAAGACACTCGTTCAGGATTTCGATTGTTGCGGAGAATTCTTTAATAATGATACTACGTTTCGGACGTTTCTTCGTTCGATAGGTGTATTTATTGGAGGAACTATGGGATCCGGGGAAAATTCTACGAAATGATTTCGCTTGATCTCGAGGGTTCAGAGACGCTTAGCCTTTAATTGGAGAATTAATGATACGCTTCGTGGAATAGTTCGAAATGTGGCGTGGAACTATTTTTACTTCTGCGTGGATTTTTTCTTGAAAGTTGCGTGGGGTGGAATGATCGCAATTTTCAGTCTTGATTTCGTTCGGAGTTCGTTACAGCAATTCTCTATTTTTATTCCAATGAAGCAGTAGAAAGAGGATTGTATTAATATATTTTCAGTCTACAACAGAAACATTGATAAGATCACATTATTCTGACTATCAGTTTCAGTCTCTTCGCAACACTATTATTCCAAGAAGTGACGTACACATTTTCCTTCATTTCACCCCCAAAAAATGGTAAATTATTTTTTGCACAAATTCGTTATTTTATTCGTTAAACGTACAGAGGACAGTGTTGCAAAGGCAACGCATATTTTTCAGTACAACACATCTCCGATCGAATCCGCAGAGATCAATGTAAGCGAACTGTCACAAACCCACACAAATGTTGCAAAGGCAACGCATATTTTTCAGTACAACACATCTCCGATCGAATCCGCAGAGATCAATAGCCAAAGTAAGCGAACTGTCTCAAACACACACAAGTCTGCCAGTCAAGTATGATCGTATATGTACGTTATACACACGTGAGTTAATTGATGAAGAAAATGACGATATCGAACGGAAGAGGAGGAATCTTACACAAGGACAATGCAGTTCAAACAACTAGAGCGCGTAATTACCAAGAATACAGTAATACAAGGTCCTAGGCAAACACAGTGTTAATATTGCGGGCCATTACCAACGCAGTAGAAACTGGTCGTATCAGTCAGCCATCGTTTACACTAGTACACAGCGGCGGGCGCTGCTAGCAGTAGAGTTGGTTAGCATATAATCAGCCAGCCGTGACAGTAGCACAAGTTTGTAGAAACTCCGACAGCAGTAGTTACTGATCACACGTTGACGACAGTAGTAGATGTCAGAAATTAGCCGCTGGCAATAATCGTCTGCGTAAATATCTGGTGACAGGTTAACGCACCTAATTTATGCAAAATGTTCTTCGAAATTTCTCACGAAATCGAGACGCAATCACTTGTTAACTCGGAATTTTCTTTTATGGAGTTTTTTCAAGAATTACATGTTATATTGGTGTTTTTGTTTATGATGGGGGTAAAATAATAATTGTCAATGCTGGTTTGAAAAAATCGTGCTTTAGCTTTTAGGAAGAAATCGAAGATTTTAACTGCAATATTATTATAGTTTTGTAATTTCTAAGAAATGGATTTCCTGCAGATTAGGGCAATTATGTTTCACGAGTTCCAAGATGAACTCGAGGGAAAAATGATCGATCAGGACGAAAAAGCATCACTGAAGGAACCGTCTGAAATTGGTTCGATAAATTTCGAAAATAAAGAACGCAGTCAGCTAAATCGTTTATTAAATCCTGAAATTTTATCACAGTCCATGGAATCTGTTCACCAAACCTCTCGACAAACATCGCAGAAACTCGAATTTTCTAAATTATCTCAATTAAACTAACTAAACTCAAATACTTCAACGTAACAATCACGCCCAATAACCAAAATTCAAAATCATTGCGCTGTAACTCCCAGTAACTCCTCCCGAGTATTCCATCTCCACGCAGTGAAGCCTTCGCTTAATCCGGCAACCGGAAATGGCGCGACTTGGCTGTTCCGTTCGCTCCAGCGCCTTTCAAGCAGCCCTGTCTGTCGAGCTTTATTGGCTGCGACGGTCGGCAGTGGTACAGCAGGGTCATTGTCGGACGATAAAAGGGCGCGAGAGAAAACGGAACTGCTCGCGAGAAATCGAGGAGCCCGAGGAATAAGAAGAAGCGAGCGAAGAAGAAGAAGAAGACGAAGTGAATGGAAGAAAGGGGAAGGGAACGTCGGTGAGTCCACCCTTCTTCATCTCGCTTGATCCCCCGTCCACCAGGGCCGCCTTCAGAGCTGGGTGGAAATTAGTTCTCGGCCGTGGAGCACGGAATTATTGCTGCTTTCAAAGTCGCTGGAGCTCGAGCTCGCCGCGCTTACATCTGGCCTTCTCCTCTCCGGAGCACGCTGGAGAAAATACAAGGAGAGGAGAGAGGAGGGGTGAGGTTGCGAGGGCGTATACGCGAAAGAGAGAGAGAGAGAGAGAGAGGAACGTGGAAGAAGCGAGGGTAGTTAAACCGAGACTACAAATCTACGATATTGAGTTAGAAGTAAGGCGAACCCTTGAAGCGGGGGCTAATAAAATTTGATGACCGGGAACTTCGTAATGAGAATGAGACGCGGAAAGAGGTGGAACAGGGAGAAGGAGGGATGATATCGAGCGCAGAGGGGAGGAGGTAAAGAGGAACGGTCGAATCGACCGCCTATGAAAACTTCTCAGACACAACGAGTCCCGTGATTTACGATATTTCATCGAACATTACACCGAGAC